TTTTTTACATGTTTTTATTTTCATATTGATTTTGCCCGAGTGTGGACACACTAACGTAACTGCCCTTTTTATTATATCACCTCGCGTCTTTACCTCCACACCGTCCTCCCTTAATATTATTCATGTTAGCAAGAGTTTGTAAAAATGGCTTTTTTCTCGAAAAAGATTCGTGAACCTCGAAATGTTTACGACAGAACTTCTAAGAAACGTGAATTTTGGAAAATCCTTTCTCAGTGCTCCACTACGTGGTGGTACGAAGGTAATGTCCAATTGTCCAAATATAGTCAAGTCCCTATCTATCATATTTTAGGTCAGTGATTCATACAGTTTTATGACTGTGAGTTGCGACCATAACATTTTTAATTTAGCTATTTGCGAACATTCAGTCAGTCAAGGGCGTGCGTAGGTATCACGTAGGCGTAGTTGCCCCTCCCTAGGCTTTTTTTGGTCAATAATCATAATCATTATATAATTTAAAGTAACAAAAATTTGTTTCTTCAAATTTTTTATTTTATAATAAAGCTGCTGGGTGCAGCTGCAATTAACAAATATAATTATGTATTAATATTAGGTGACTGAAATATTGAATTACTGGTATTAACCGATTAATAAAACTAAACTAACTTTTTATCATTCATTTTGGTTATTTTCTAGTTTTTTGTATAACTGGTGATTAGTTCAGTAGATTATTTTGAAAATTATACTTAAAAATACTCTAGTGATTGATAGTTACATTTAATGTTTTTAGACTTCAATTCTCAAAATATTAAAATAATTTGGTGGTTTTTACTTTATAGAAGTTTGAACATTTTATTTTATAATTTATACACAACCTATAATTATCAAATCAATGATGAATTGATGGCATTTTATTAATAAAAAATGCATTTTTAAGTATTAAGAAATTTTAAGAATTATGTAAGATTACATTTTAACTACCTACATTTTATTATTCATAAATAATTTTTACATTCCCAACCTATGATAGAAAAGTGAAAACAAGTCACATACAATACTTAATGCTCTGGGTAACAGAATATTCTCCTAAAAAAATAAAAATAATAATAATAATAATAATAATAACAATAATACAAATCACTGTGTTCGAAGAAAGACAATAATTTATTTGTTTGATTGTTTGATTTGTTATCATGTTTGATTTTCACTAAATCTTTTATTTTATCCTCTATATAAAAGTTAATAATAATCTTTTTATTAGTTTTATTGATAAAAACTTGTTAATTAAGTCTGATTAGAGAGTCTTCATAAGGTATTTATTTATTAAGGCTTTCTAAGTCTGATTATTCAATTTTTATTTTATATAATCAGTTACTCTCAAAGTCTCAATGCACAATAATGATTACAAAGAAGTTTTATATTCTTCTAAAGGCAGTCTGACTGCTCAGTGCTCACCACTTGCATTGGAAAATGGCATACACGCATATTATAATCTTAAATAATTAATATATATTTTGGAAAAGTGACTGCCAAAAGTGAGATGGATAATAGGAGTATAAGTGCTGTATGTAATTATTGTAAAGCATAATCACATAGCCTCTTCAAACACTGAAGTCGACAGTATCTTGTGTCTCTAGTTAATAATAAATTATGGCAAATATCAATAATAATAATTGTATAAATATTTTGAAAATAGTTTGTTGGATAGGAAAGTAGTAATTTGTTGACTTTTCACCCCACTACACACTTCCGATTAACCATACAATATTCATACACAAATAAGATAATATATTTTGAAGTCCACATTTTACTCATATAAAAATACCTTAAATTATTCTTACAAATTATTTTCTGATAAACACAAAAGTTGATTTAATCATAATTATTGTATAATTTATCAGTTACTTTCATAAATATAATTTTTAAGAACTATTGCTATGATAATAATACATTAAAGATTAAATAATTTCTTAATGTTTAGCAATTATAGACACATAATAATATAATATGGTAGATGCTTGATTGATTTTTGAAACAATTTTTAAAAAAACAGGGCATAATAGTATATATAAATAATATATTATAATAGTGCTAGACTGCAATCAAACACTTCAAAATAATTAAATAGTTTAACAATAAAGAAACACTTAGTTTTAATAACAAAAGAGAAAGCGTTTAAAAACTATTTAGCATAAGTTGTAAGTGCTAAAATACACAAGCTACTTTCAACTAATACTAAATAGGTAACATTAAATAGGTCAAACTAAAAAGTAAAAGTTAACTATATTTTATTTAGGTATGCTAGCATTATCAGAAGCAGGATCTTGGGCCTTTACTGTATTTGTTTTGTTTATTTTTATCTAATTCAGCTAAGGCCGTTGCATGATTTGTCATCAATCGGTTCATTTTGTACATAAACATAGTTTCTGTTTCAAGTGAATCCATGTTTGGAACTGAAATATTTAAATTTCATGTTCATGTAATGAAAAATTTTAACTGTTACAATATATTATAATATGATAAAAAAAGGCCAAAAAATATCATACATTTAGGGGTGTGTTTAAGTATGTGGTGCCAGGTGAAATACAATTGCTTTGTCAATTTATGTTTTAAGCTTCAAATATTCCTGGCAGAAATTACTCAATTTGCTGGTTTCATTTTTAAAAATGTTGTTAATTTTTCTAAACTGACTAAGTAAGTTTCCAAAATGTTCATATTGGTTGATTTGGTTTAATAAAATTGCTCTTTTAGTTTCTTTATCATTTAATTATTTTAATTTTTGAAGAAAATCAAATTGTTGGTTCTCAGTGACGCAACTACAGGGTGCTAAGGGGTGATTAAGCACCTCCATGTTCCATATCATTGTAATTTCAAGTATCTAGTTTAAATAATACTATTTTGTTTTAAAGAATTCATTATTATTAATTTTTTTCTTATTTTGCATTTTGCATCATTTTGATTATATTATAATTTTATTATAATCTTAAATTAAAAAATGTCAATTTATAATTTTAGTAATTGTTTTAAGACATTTATAAGGAGTTATAAATATACTCAGCACAATACTAGAATCTTAAACGGCTATATTATGAAGGATGAAATTATTTTTAGTAGTGTCATTGATTCATTTCAAAATATGAGATAAAAGATCAAGCATTTTCAGAATTATAGTTAAAAATAATACAATTTTATGAAAAAATTACATATTATTGGATGTATCTTATCCAGATTAGTTTAGCTTCTGTGTTCATATTCATAATAGGACTATGATATTTTAAGCAAATTATTTAAAAATTCAATTTTTTTAAATGTCAAAACAAAAAAGAACTCAACCGAATAATAATAAATTTCTATTTGGAGACTATTACCATAATATTATACTATTATAATATCATACTATTACCATATACAGCTAATGACATTATGTCAGACCAAATATTTGAACACATTTGCTACTAACTATAAGAAATTATGTTTAACACTTTAAATTTTATATAATAAATTATTATAGTAAATAATATAGTACAAATTAAAATGTGTTAAATTTAAAGTTCAAATTAAACATATCAATTACTGGCAAAAAATTTCGAATACTGAATTTTTGAGGTGTATCTATACTCTGGATGTTTCATTAAAACCTATTGGGTTCAAACCGATATTTCTTTACCGTTTACCATGTTTTATCACTTGTTTAGTGGACCGCATATAACATATGTTAATAGAATAATACATAAATTACAACAAAAAAATACATGTACCATTGTCTTAATAGAAAAATAAAGTTCCATTTTATAGTATATATTTTCTCATCTATTATAGGTGGTCGCAGAATATCTTTATTAGGTTTTTTAATATGGATTGCTACAATTTTTTTTTTTAATATGTATCCATGGTGTAACATGAAGACTTGGCAAATAAAATAAATTTTTTTCCTACTTTTATGATTTTTTAAAAATACCAACATTTTTGGAACATGTTAAATTCAAAAATAATAACTATTTAAAAAAAAAATATTTAGATTTTAATAAGTAAGCATCATATTTTTTTTAAGTTGTATGTTTTGAATTAAAATTTTTTTACGACTGGATCAACTTAATTTAACAAAAAATGAGATTGCAATAAATAGTAAAAATTAACCTTAAATAAATGTTTTTACAATCAATATTTTTCTAAAAGCCTGATTTACAAATAGGCTATTTTGAATTTTTTTTATTTTTATTATTGAGGAAAAAAATTTTTTTTATACCATACCTGTCAGTAAATGAAATTAATGTATAAAAAATTTAAAAATATTGATTCTAACATAATTTATTTAGTTTGTAAGGTCTTCCGGTTACACTCTGTATATTATAATATATTAGAATATTTTTACTGAAGGCATAATTTTATAACATTTAGATTATATTAAAGTGAACAAATATTTCGTCAACAGCTGTTATAATTTTAACTTTAGTGACGAATTTGGTAATTTATTTCTGTTAAAGTTTTAATACTATTTGTTAAATAATTTTTTTTGCTTGATAAGAATTATATACATTTTCTGTAAAAATTTATTTTAAATTTGTATGAAAAAAAAAAAATATAATATTTGTGTGATTGTACAATAATCACTTAAAGATAACATTACTTAATGGAGTATGAAAAATGCACAAAAATAATTTATATTATATTAAAAATAGACTGGAGTAAATAATTATCTGCGTGCGTTACTTAAGGTCAATTAAAAAGACTAATTTTGAAAACTTACTATATGAAGGTATAAGAGTAGAAGTAGTAGATAATTTTCAGAGCTTCGGAGGTTGTTCTTCTGATGTGTCAGTTGGACTACCCGGAATTGTTTCTTCATTAAATACAACACTATTTATATCAGATTCAGCACAATAAAACATTTTGCTAGTATCCGGCAAAGAAAATTTATAAAAGCTGCTTTCGCTCACTTGGAATGTTATTATCAAAATTAAAAAAACAAGGACAAGGAATAGGATCAAATATACTTAATGTTTCAGGAGTTTTTAAATGAATAGTATGATTTTTGAAGGGGTTTTCTTTTTTCTTTTTTTTCTTATTATTTGAAATGTGATTTGCGGCTTTTATAAATTTGTCCATTGGAAGGTTATCTTCTTCCACGATCATGCCGTGGACTTCATTGTGCTCTGGCCTCTGATATACTGAAAACGTTGGTAAGTGGTGATTTAGGAGGATTCATGCATAAATCCAAAACTTCATATTTTAAATCAGAAACATTAACTTCATCCTGAAAATGTGGCTCAATTTCTATTACATTTTGCATATCTACTGTAACATTACTTATCATTAAGTTTTGGGATTCATTAGATTCATTATCAGATTCATTTCTCATAATTGGATTTTTGACTTTATTTGTAATATTCAAATTTTCATTAACTTTTATCTCAACATTATTGTCATATAAATAAATGCTAGTGCTATTAGGCACAAATGATACCATTAACCCATTTTGTTCAACTACTTGCTCTTGTGATGGAGAATCAATGACTCTAGTAAGTTCATCAGGTTTTTCTAAGTTAAATAATTTTGGTGAATCATGTCTAATAGGTGTATCTTCAATGACAGAAGGAATTAAATAAAAATTGCCTGATTCATATTCTTTAAATTTATAAGCATAGTCTATGACTGGTTCAATAGTTTTTGAAGCATCAATTTTTATTTGTTGATCCAACATGAATGATTCTGTATTTTCAATAATATCATCAAAATCGGTACCAGTAATGTTAGATTCAGAAATATGTTTTAAATCATTTCTTTGAGATTTATTGCTATAAACATTTAACACACAAGACTTTGGTTTTCTAGGCACACTTTGCTCCATGAGTACTTTTTTACTAGGATATGTCTTTGGATTTAGCGTCTTTTTCCGATTATTGGTGTCTAATGGATCAGTTGTTATAATAATATTTGGTTCAGATTTTATGACTTTTTTCTTACTATATTGTTTGGGTGATCCTACAATTAGAGTGTATTCTTCATCCGAATCAGAATTATCTACAATATAATTAAACATACAGATTATACATTACATTACATCTTTTTTTTTATTATTTCAACAATTTAGGGTAGACCCAATTACACAGAAATATAATAATATCCAGCCATTTTTAGGGATTTGCAGCATTGAATGTCTAAATGAGAATAAAACTTTAATTCAAGGTAAAATGTGACCCTAAGTCAGATACTTTATTATCAACTCATAATAAAGGATTAGCATTGGTAGAATAAGAAAAATCAAATCTCTCCCGGGACCATTGAGTGACATTTAGAGAAATTAAGTTCCAATCTATGAACATTTGTTAAATTTTGTGCAATGAATAGCAGTATAAATATTTTTTTTTTAATCCTATACCAAGGATCGCCATTTGTCAATGATTGGTGACCAATGAGAAATTTAATAAACCATGATGGGAAAGAGATTGTATACTTGAGATTGAATAGAAAGTCACCCGATACACTACTACAAGGCCAATTTAGGGAATATCATTTGAAAGCAAAATACTATTGGTTCAGTTATCAAAATATAGAAAAGAGGATGAAGACTTGGAATTTATAGGACTAACGTGGAACACAAGCATATTGGCAGCTTTCAGCTCAGATGAACCATGTATGAATAAATTCAAAAACTTAATTGAGGATTTTTAACTTTTCAAAGTTTTTAGTTTGGTTATTTCAAAATTAATTCATTCAATATAGTACTATTAAATGTACAATAACATATTTAATATAATTTATTTGTTAACTGGGTTTTATAAATTATTATTGTAAGATTAAATTGTTAAGATTATTAGTATAATTTTTAAGTATTTTTTTATTGTAAATACATTTTTAATTATTATATTCAATTATAATATAAGGTTACACAGTAAAATCAAATTACATTTTTGTTAAAGTTTAATTATTTTACAATAGATCATAATTAATTCTTTTCATATTGTGGAAAAATATTCATGTATCCAAACATGAAATGGATGGTAAAAACAACAACCGTTATCCACAATAGGTGTGTAGTTTTTGATTACTTAACTTGTACCTATCTATCTATTTTTATAAATATTAATTAACAAAAAATAAAAATAAACATTTTACATACCAATATTGAATAATGAACCAGTCAAAGTACATGTTCTAGTAGGCCGAGTATTGCTAAAACGTGATTTTTTAATATTTGAATCTGATGCAAGTGGATTAACTGACCTTCTGATTTTATTACTTATTGTTGGTACCTTTTTTGAAACCACATTTTTTTGCTAAAAAAATATTAATATTATATTGTTAGATGTTGCTATGATTTATGCTATTTTTCTTATTAGTATAAATAATATAATAATAACAACTAAGTGTTTCTAACTAAATAATAATTGTAAAACCTTGAGTTAATATTTAAAAAAAGTTGTTAATTAAAAATGTATTGGAAGTATTGGAATTTTAAGATAGTACCACACTACTACCACTCAAATTATATTGATGGTCATCGTATTTTTGGAAAAATAATTATTTGCTTATATAAAAAAAAAATACTAACATATTATTTGGATTAAATATTAAAAATATACTAAAAAAAATAAAAAATACATACTCATTGTTTAAAATTAAACAACATATTATTAAACTATGGGTAATTATTTTTAATAGGTACTTTATATATTATATCTAACTTTAAATATATTATTGAATTTACATAGATACCTACTATTTAATAGAAATAAAAACAACTATTATTTCCTTAAAAAACTGTTTAGTGAATAATTAATCCATCAAGAATATGGACTGTCTTGTAATGCACGTAATCCGTAATATAGAATCATCCCTCAGCTATACAACGCCAGAACACAGTACTTATCTGTATTTTTCATAATTGTGTAGGATAATATTGTTTCTGTAAATTATTTCAAACTTAACACTACGTAGTTTCTGTCTACTCACAGTGCGATAACTCTTGAAATAATATCTTGATTCTAAAGAGAACTGGATAGAAAAATTCAGAATGAATTGTTACAAAAGATTATGTATAAAAGTTATTTTTGATGAGAATGTTGGTTACTGCGTTATGGAGTTGTATAGCTGAGTCCTCTCACTAGTTCTTTTTAATCTTCTCTATGTATAAAGGAAAGTTACTTCAGTAATAATCAACGCACAGCCAAACTTATTTGATTTATCAAATTGAAATTTTGAGGCTGGATTAATATTATAATGTCAAGTTCCACTAAAAAAGGATTTTTCAAAATTTTGATTTTAAAGGATTGAAATAGGCAAAAATAAATTGTTTGCATACAAATTGTATATCTATAATCTATTTACATATTTTACAGCACGGAGACCTGTGTGTTTCCATTGCAACATGCAACCATAACTTTTTGTCAAAAAAATACATAAATAAATAAATAAAAAACATATGAAACTTATAGTTTTTTAAACACATGAATCCCTATTTCTCTTAAGGTTTGCTCAAACCGAAGCGGTAGCAGTGGCGGTAACTTCAGCGGTATTTATCGCTTTTTAAATATCGCTGATCTAACCTAACCGGAGAGCAAAATATTTCGCCGAAAATTACTAATCGACATTGTGACACCCATGCGCGTACATGTATTTTAGTAATTATTACATTTTTATTTATTAATATTTTATTTTTTTTACTAAGTTTGGATAAAATAGCTGGTTGTTTATTTATTTTTATTTTTACCTATTTCATATAAGAATTGTTACTTAATTGCACATGTTTGAAAACTGATAGTAAATAATAAAATTCAAGACTGACTTTTCTTAATAACATTAATTATTATTACTTTTTATCATAACTAATATTTATTACTGTTATTATAATGACTAGTATTTGTATAGATTAATTATATTTTTAATTACCGCTTTCACCGTTCATTTTAACACTTAATTCGTGATCCCAAGTATAATCTTTTTTTCTCGTATCCTTGAATTCTAGAAGTGTCATATTATATATGATGGGATATTCCTTAACAATAGCAATTAACTGTTCAACTTTATTGGTCATTTTTATTGTAAATAATAAATTTTAAACAAGAGAATCGTTCATATATTCAAACACCACGACGTTAGACTCAACTGCAAGGTGTAAACTGCAATTGCAGTGCAAGGTGTACGATTACGATCAATTGATATGTGGTTGAATATAAAGGCAGAATATATCATACAATGTAATGATAAGCTTTCTATAGATATTAATATATTAATAATAAAATATCGATAACTCATAGTTGGGTATTTACAACTGATTATCGTAGCGGTAAGCGAAAAATATAGTCTGCAGCGAAAAATAAAAATATCAAGCTCAATTTTGCGGTAACATTTTCGCCGCGGTATTAATTTCGCGATAGTGAGTGCGTTCGTATTAAAGCGTATGGACATAAAATTTCGCTGCCACTAATACAGTAATACCGCTTCGGTTTGAGCGGACCTTTAGTCGAGGCATCACGCTTGTCGCTTATCATTTGAAACAGACCCATCTATCTTCTATCCATGATATTAAACAGTTCATTTATAATTTCTTAGTGCTCATTTCACAGTGGAATCAGTCGGAAGGTTTGAACAATTTTACAGTGAGTTTTTTGATAAGTGTTTGTTCACATGGTTAGTTTAAGTAATCACGCTTTAAATTTTAATCAGACTTAAGTCACCCGCGGGCCGCTGTGGCGCTATGCCATACAATATGTGTTTAGGTATACTAGTTGCATGTTTTTTTTAATGAATAACTAATTTTCCACTCAACTCTCTTAATTTCTTACCAGAACTTAGTATTTTTTTAAATTTTTTGATCATGTTTGAAAGCATCAAATCAAATTTTAGTACATTGTCTACCAAGGTGGCTGTCGGCTGAGTTACACTTAAAGCCGCTCATTGACATGTACACAATCAAAATAATTAATGAAATTAAAATTAAACATATTATTCATATAGAGTGTTCACCTAACCGCAGGTAGATATCCTACCTAATAATATACTGCTCACATTATCACAAGCGAGTCTCATATAGAGTTGACATTTTTAAAGGGCAGCGAAGTGCAAGGGATCAGCTAGGAAAGATATAATAATGATAACATAAATCTTTGTATCGACATGACACTACGACAGTTAATTTGTCTACTGGCGATCGTACGTAGCAACGGCTGCAGCCGTTATATTTCTGACGTAGAAATACTTGCTAAAATTATAAACTACAAACTATCATAACATTTTTATTAAATGAAGAGTTATATGGAAAACACCAAATAACTCAATTATACAAATTGCGTTATTGAAAAATAATATATTTCTTATCGATATGCGATAAACGTGTTTAACTATACAAATTATAATTATTATTAACTAGGTATAGAATAATTTTTTTAATAACAATTAACAATATGTGTATAGAATCATTAGAAATTCTAATTCTAATTTAGAATCATTTGTAAATATTATTTTTAATATTAATATTATTTTTTGGAAGGATTTTCCCTAAATTAGACCTCTAAGGGGGTAAAAAGGGTTTTTTTATACAGCTATATAATACGCCGTGAAGGGACAGCTAGTATATTCATAAATGATAAAAATGTTTGTCTGTATTTTGCTAAATTATTTTCGTTTGTTGATGATTGCAAATTGATTGATTACATGAAATCCATAGATGATGCACAAAAAAATATAGGCACTAAAGTTGGCGCTTAAATAACAAAATTACCTTGAGTATATCTAAATGCAATTTTATTTCCTTCTATAAAATTAAGAAACCTATCATTAATACAAAATTTCTAATTTCCAATAACCAATTGTTAAGAGTATAACAGAAAGAAGAAGAAGAATATCCACCGAATACATTACTCATTATAAATTATAATAAAATATTCAAGGCCGTAACTGGAAATTAATTTCAAGGGGGGAGGGAGGACCCCCCCCCCCTCGATACGGCCTTGAAAATATTAGTAAATTGTAATAGCAACTATTATTTTATTGCCAGAATTCATATATAATATTTAATGAATTCTGCATTTGAATCGGGGACTGGCATTTCAGGTTTTACAGTTACAGTTCCAGTACTTAATTATTTTTGATTGGGGGTTCTAAAAAAGTAATCATACCTTATCTAAGCACTTCTACACTTCTGATAGCCAATAAATTGAGAACAGGCCACAGAGGTAAACACAAAATGGTTATGGTAGAACTACATTTTTGTTCATTTAAAAATAGTTCCAGTTTCTGTTTTGGTTATTTGAAAATATTTAAATTCGGTTTCGATTGGGTTCTGGTTCCCAATTTTAAAATTTTTTGAACCGGTTCTTTTTTGTTTCAGTTCCTTTTTTGAATTTTATTTATCTAGATTATTTAATAAACAACATTTTTTACAACTATTATATCCAACAATGATATCAAAAGCTACTGGCTAATATTCCTATTAAATGTCGACTACAAGATCTTTGAAAGACTTATATATAACCACACTACAGAAGCTGTGAATAAATCGATCCAAATAGAAAAGGTTTGATTGAGACCAAATAGCAACTGCTGTGACCAAATTTTATCGTTAACCGCAAACATCAAAGATAGTGCTGCAGTCCTTATAGATCTTAAGGCAGCATATGATGCAGTGTATGGTTGAATTGGCTCATCACTAAACGCCTATGAGTAATCATGCAAAACAAAAAGTAGAATCATAAACAGTATGCCGAGTAACAGATTTTTCAATGTAGTTAAAGGTAATAAAAGGATTATGCAAAGAACCCTAAATAATGAAAAACCACAAGGCTTTGTATTAGACCTCATACTTTTTAATTTATATATCAATGACCTACCCCAAAACCAAGTCGAATAAATTATTTACACAGCCTACATAGCTCTTCTATGTCAGGAAGTCAGGAAAAGACATACAAACTTTGTGAAAAATACCTAACGGAAGACCTGAATGAATTAAATAGTTACTGTAACAACTGGAGACTCACCAAATCCAACTAAACTGAGGTTCACTATTCTATCTCAACAACAAAATGCCAAGACAGGAAATAAAGGTGGTCTTTAACGAGTAATGAATAAGGTTAGGTACTCAACATATTGAGGAGTACAATTGAACAGAACGTTATCATACTGAGAACTTAACCAAGGTGGAAGCAAAGAATAAGACTCGAAACAATATAGTATATAAATTGGCTCAAACTACCTGAGGTCAGATCTAACTCTGTTAGGATATCTGTACTAGTCTTCACCTACTCAGAAACCGAGGACTGTGTACCAGTGTGGATTAAGAGCTTACACACAAGTAAAATAGATACCCAACTAAACGCAACAATGAAATCAATTTCTGAAATAATCAAATTAACACCAGCCTCTTGGCTACCAGTATTGAGCAATAAAGCTCCTCTTCACATTTGAAGATATAGAACCCTAGTTTGAGAATAAACCAATCATGCTTTAAATAAAAGTTTACCCGTACAAAATTACATGAATAACAAGCGTAGCTAAAGATTAATATCCCGTAAGTCTCCCTGGATAGTGGCACAAAAACTAAATAACAAAAATTATAACCTTAACTTTTAATGGAATAATGAATGGAATCTAGAAAACTCCGACAAAAATAACATCATTGAACAAAAAAAAAAGTTTTAGAGTTTCAACTACCTCAGAAGGAAAGGGTGACTTGTAACATACTTAAGAACGGTTGTAGAAAATCAGGAAAAATGCTATGTAAATGGAGACTTGGAGATCACCACAATTTCTTTGAAGACATGATACTCAGACAGCCAACCATATCGTAGAAGAATGTCCAGTATGCAATATACAATTCGGAATGAAACACCTCCATAAGACAACAGCAGTAGCAACAAACTGATTAACCAACCAGGACATTAGAATTTAAAGCAATGTAAATACAATCCCGACTTCACCACCTGATCATTATATATACTTAACTAATTCTAACTAATTAGGTTTCTATATTTTATCAACTTACATCTTTTATTGAAGTATTTTATTGTTGTTTGATAATTTATTATTATCTTATGCTGTTAGTGTTGAATGAAATCATTCGATAAATAAATTAAGAACTTTTATACATACTTTTGGAATACTACTTTTTGAACAATCTGCATCATTATCTTCTTCAGGTTCTTGTTCCTTTTTTTTATAAGCAATACGCATACCATCTATCCATTCATCATAACGTGAATTCCATCCTTTATAATGCACGTAATATTTCATTACTCCTTCAATATCACACACATTAATAACCTAAAAATTTATAATGTTTATGTCATTTGATTATTTTAAACAATACTAGTTTTAACATGTTACATAATATCAAAGTATTTTGGATATGGGATGATGATTAAACTCAAATTTAACCTAAGATCAAAAAAATCATTCAAGATTAAAGTTGTCAAAGCGAGAGTGTGAGAAACATGATGAATTTGATACAAATGATCTAGTTTTAGATAATTTTAGAGATGACTGAAATAAAGAAATTAAATTTTTGAATAAGAATTGTAAATAATAAAAACAATGTAAATCCCAAAATATAAGCGAGTTAGTGGGTATCGTTCTGCTGTACATTAGGTGGCTAGAGAGTCACTGCAATGGATATGTAAATTTAATTCAATGTTATAAAATCATTGTATGCAATGAATGGTTTCAGGCGAAGAAGATATGGGGTAGCCTCCAATATTCTTTTTTACTATCCCAAAAGGTGATGACGGACATAAACACAAACCAACACATATCATGGTTAAAACAAAACATTCATCGCTCCACTCAGAATCTAAAATAAACTACCACTATTAAGTAAAAGTAACATCAAACTCATTTGAAAAAACATTTTTAAAAGAAACACTGATTTATTTATTCATAATATTTACTAGTTATAGTTTAATCTAATAAATAGTAACAAATGATTAATAAATAGTTAATCTTTTTTTACATATATAGTTTGTTTAAAAAGATTAAAAATAAAATTTATTTATTTGGCTTAAGTCAAACAAATTCAAAATATATTTTTAAAACGATAAATATATTTTTTTTAAGTATTTAAATAACTTACTTTTGCATCATAAGTTGTACCACCATAATAAACAACTAAATTATCTCCAATGACCAAAGGTGAATCTTTATCGAACGGTGCATTTTCAATACTACTAAATTAACAAAAACATTATACCAATATTAAATAGTATAACATATGTAGAACTGATTTATTTTATATTATAGTTTAAAAACATACTTAGGGGTAGGAATTGTAACGTTTGAGGACACTTTACCCTCTTTATCGTCCTTTTTCTTTCTTTTTTTTTCAGTTACATCTTCCTTTTTAATTTTAACTAGATTATCTAAGAATCTAGGCTGTGTCAGCTGTACAACAGAAGCACCGTCAGCAAGATCACTTAATATTGATGCTCTCCTTGATCTGGAGCGTAGATTTAATGCGGTCTTTGACCGTGTCAGCTAAAATAATAAAACAAAAAATAGTTTTTAAAAACATATCTTATCAATAGTAAATATCATAAGTTGAGATTTTATTTTCAAAACCAAACTACATTTAGTAACTATACCAAAAATATCTAGCGCCTATTAAAATGAAATGGAATATAATAGTTATAAAGTGAAGTACATCATCATTAATCTTCTTTCATAAATGTAAGTTAAATGTAATCGCAATTTTAGAAAAACAACAAATTTGGTATAGTTTTTGTTTTGCATGATCAAATAAATACGGAAAATGTGTACATTGAATTTAAAGTAAGTTAATCAATAAGTCATCATTGTTAAAATCCAAATTAAAAATTAAAGATATCACTTATTATTTCTACTGTATTAGCCAGTACAAATTTAAATTCTTAATTAAATTAATTAATAAAAAGCATAATATACAACAATTAAACATATTTTACTTTTGGTACTTCTTCATCTAGTTTTTCTTTATTTGAAGCATGGGTATAAGAAATTCCTCTGTTCAATTTTTTGAATGACATATCTTCAAAATAAGTTTTAACTTGTTCTTTGATTAATCTTCTTTTTTTCATATTAGTTTTTAATTCTGATTTTCCACGTACATTTCTTTTATACATTTTATTTTCTACTTTTTCATCTCCAATGATTTGGTCATCATCTATTGCATCAGAATCCAGCTCTTTTTTTAGGATTATTTTCATTTCTTTTTTAGTTTTAGAATTTCTAACTGGATCTTTTAAATCTGTTATTTTTGGATCCCATTTCATTAATTGTTTACTAAGCAACATACTATTAGCAGAATCTTCTTTTTTTTTATCATCTTTCTTTGAAATTTCTTCATTGTTCTTTAGAAGTTTTTCTTCAGTTTTTAAAGATTTGGCTTTTTTTTTAGTTACAGCAGAATTCTTATTTTTTTTATCTCTTAATTCATTATTTATGGTTTTATTTTTATCAGTTGCTGATGAGGTGCTAGGAAATGCCTTATCAACATCCCTAATAATACTGCGACTAAATTTTCTGCTCGATCTTACTACCCTTGGATGACTCCACATAGTAGACCCAAGTTTTCGATAAAAATCCTCAAAACTATGTAAATATCTGTAATACAACACAAGAAAATTATTAATATTGTATTTATTACATTTGTATTGTTTAAAAGACTAGGTAAATTTATAAAATACATTTTAATTTACGTTTATTTTTTTATTATTTATTAATGCAATTTATTTTAACTATTTGATTTTTTAACAGCATTAGTCTATATTATGAGTTAAAATAAAACATATATATAAATAAATAAACATTTTTTTATTATTTTAGTCTCAATCAGGGGTGGGCAACTCAAAGTTACTAAAGCATAGAAAGCAAAAGAAATAAAGAGTCATTCAAAATATACATTTTAATCGGTGTTAAATAAATTATAGAGTATAGACGATAAATTTTAAAATTGTATGATGTAATTTAAAAATGTAGTTTGGGCTAGATTAAAAAGCTCGTGAGCCAGATGCAACCAGTGGGCCCTCAGTTGCCCACTCCTGGTCAGATGAATATAACTAGTTCTTAATAATTAATATATTTACTGTGTATAACAATGTTGAATAGAAAGATATGATTGTGGTTCATATCCAGCTTTATTTGCAACCAACTGCCATAGTTTACCTGTATTTACTTTATTACACCCACCGTAACTATTGACAACCTAAAAATAATTAGATGGTATTAATTATTATTAGTCATATAAATGGTTATTATTTATAAATAATCTTGCAAATTTGAATGAAACATATGAGGAGGATTAATTTAATTGACTTGTTTGTTTTACAGAAGTGTAAAATAGAAAAATTATGTAGTTTCTTTTAAGTTATATTTTTACACTTAACAATTATTTTATAAAAGGATATCAAGAACACAGTTGTCTACTAAAGTCAGAAGACAAAATAATTTTGGCCCCCAAAACCGTGTTTTTATGAACTAAAAAATATATTAAAGTTTAAAATTTAATAACTATACAAATTGTTGCTGGGTTAGTGCCATTTAAATTAATTGTAAATGAATAAATAAACCACTAGTAGTCACGAGACCAGAATGATTATACTATATTATTATGAACAAGAATTCACAAAATGTAAAACTATTTTGCCATAAAAAAATTGTAATATTAATTGTAGACAAGGTTATTGCGTAATACAATTGTGAAAGAGCAAGTGGGACAACCTCCCCTTAGAAATTTTGTTCTGTACTGTAATATTTTTCTTTTTATTATAACGGAGGGTAATATAATAAAATAGTATTATATAGTATTTACTATTTATTGCATTTTGGTTCCCTAATCTTTTTTTATCTATGATAGCTTTTGAAATAAGGATTGAGAATCGTAATATAAACAAAATACATTAAATTAGCTAATAAGAAAATTGTAGTACCTTCAATTTAATTCATCTATAAATTAATGATAAAAAGTTCTTAGAAATAAAATACATGCATTAAACTATAATAGAGTACTATTAACTATTATACTATAACTATATAATTTCATTACACGGGTTCTTAAATATTTATTAAAATTTAATTTTCATACTATTAATAAACTTAATGTGGGTCAAACTCACTATGGAGAAGTAAACGCCAAATCTTAACCTGAGTTGATAACTGTGATCAAGAGTATTTTTTGAAGGATTATATATTGATTTAAACAATAACTAGTTGGTGTATAAAATAGTTAGATTTAAACTGGTATAAGATCTTAAATAAATAACAGTGATGCAAAATGTATAAACAAATTATAACTTTTTGAATTTAAAAATAAAAGATTTCAAAACCTATTTAATTTGTTAAAGAACCACAACTGGCTGTTTACTCTCCCAATAATATCCCATGAAAAACATATATTATTGTACAACATGAATTAATCAAATACCTTAAACAATTTGTACAAATCAACGTCCTTATCATTAATCACAGGAGCTTGATTAAGAGGAGTTCCTCGGTCATCCATAAATTTAAATAACTGTGCGATAAAATGGTCTTTATCTTCAATAGATTCTTTGTCAGAATTCTAATAAAAAATAATTTATTAAATAAAACATATCAATTGTAAAATGTAGTATTGGTCGAGTACTCGACTATGGACAAATTTTCAAATTGAGTTCAATCAGTAGACTTTATTGAAAATACTTGATTGGGTACTCAACTATTTTGGAGTACTCGAATATGAACTCAACTCTTATTTATAAAATTGAAACTCGACTCGAAATTAAAAAACAATACTTATCCAAACTGGTAAAATACTAAAATGTATACTCTTTTAATAAATAATAATTTTTACAATACTTCAAAACTATAGTGGGGATTAAATTAACATAGTACTCCCACTAGTTATTTTTTACATAAATATACTTACATCATTATCAACTGCTTTATTATCTGTAGGAATACAAATTTCACCAACACCAAATAACAAATTTCTATCCCAGTGTGGTGGGAGTTCGTCTTTGTCAAGAAATAATAGGGCTTTTTCAACGGCTAAATAATAATAATAATGATGATGCATTTAGATAGAAAACACATGTGTACACAATTTAATATTTACCAGTTTTTAGTGTAGGATTTTCCACTCTAGCTCCAATTTCTTTAGTAAATTCGGTAATATCTTTTTTTGGTACTGCATAGCTATATTTATAAAGTATGAAAGTTAATATTGTAAGTTAAACTAAGAAACTTTAGCAGTGCTCACTATTTTCCATCCTTAAATGAACGAACTAGGTAGTCTTCTACAACATTAGCTCTAACTGAGGATTGTAAAGTGGGTGCCACTACCAAACAAGGTAACCAATTGTCTCTTACTTTCTTTTTATTATGATCTTCTACACAAACTACTTTTCCAATATCTTTTCTCTCCATTACTGAAGCTTCTTTTTCTTCACTTTCCCGTTACTGTGTAAAACAATTAGTTTAAGTTGAAACTGAAATATGCAATTAACTACTTTATAAAATATTTATATGTATGAAAGCAATTACCCAAAACTTTTCTAAATTTTCTGTCTAAACTTGTGTTACAGTAGTGTTTACAGGAGTAACACGAATATGTTCAAAGTGTGTTAGAGGAAGTTGATCAAGAGAAGCACAAGCAACAAAGTGTAATTACTGCAAAATAAAAAAATTAAACAGGCACATACATGAATATAATTATAAAAATATTATTCATACCAACAGTATAATCACTACAGGCATTAATTTTTTTAATTTTTGTTTGAACCAACTCTTTTTTGAGGATATACCATTAGAATATTTAACCTCAACAGAAAAATATACATTTTATAGCTTGAATGTATTAAATTAAATTTTTTTATGATAGATAAATTGTCACACTTTGTATTGTACAGTTGTTTATATTTAACTGATTTTTGCTTCACAAAATGCTCCTTTGTACTTGACACTTTCTTTTGTTCCAACAGCAAAAAAAGGTGGTTTATCCAAATTCACCAATATTTTACAAAAAAAAATATTATTTGTTTCTATTTAATAACAGTGTAGTTTTGAAGCAGGTTAATTTATAAGCATTCTAAATAGGCAGGTATGGAATACAATAATTAAGGGTATGTTTAGAATGATATTGAAGTAAGCCTAAAAAACTCATTAACACTATGATTTAATAAACAACACTAACTTAGCTTTGTTGATACTTTAACTAAATGTTTTATTTAAGTCAACTTTAATTACAAGATATTGTCCAAACTATATAAAATTTAAAAAACAATTTATTTAATATTTGCATAAAACTTAATCAATAGTAAGAGTAGTAAGACATAATTTAAAAAATCCAAAATATTTGTGTAGGATATAAATATTAATTAATTAAAAATTAACAGTTGATATTTTTTATCAGTCCTTTAACACGGAAAGCTCATTTTTTTGATTAAATATTTACCTTCAGTTAGTTGTGGATTTTCACGCTATTATTTAAAACTTTTAAACAACGAGAAAACATTTATTTCCCCGATCAACCAACTGAAGTTCAAATTAAATTTATACTAAACTACATAGACAAAAATATATTGCAGCACACTTTATACCTACTACAGACACACCTAATTAGTAATTATGGAGCTCGGATTTCAATGCATTTTTTTTTTGAATGGCTTACATGGTGCTTGCAAGGCTACAAATGTGTGTCAAGCACTGCATTTGTAACCATAATATTTTTTTTTTGGAGCATTTTGAGCATTTTTAGTGCATTTTTTAATTTTCAAGACATTTGTACCAGTTTCCCGTTTAACTACTAAAATATTGACTTCATTGAAATATAAACATAGTATTAAGTAGTATAAATCATTATAATTTTGAACTATTTAATATCAAGTAATCTGGTTTTAAATTAGATAAAGCTGAAATTTATCTTTATGTCACACCAACCAATTAGCCAATTTAATTCCATATAACATTTATCAGAGTACTATATTGTGCAGTGTAACACAAGTGTAATTTTGTACTCATTTTTCATATTTACAAACGTGCATGCACAATTTTACAAGTTAAATGCATTTTTTTGTTAATTTTAGGGCATTTAAATTTGAACCCTAGTAATTTGTAATCAGTATTTATGATATTGCACTTGTACTATCTAACTTCAACATTAAAATATAAGATTAACGTAAATTAAGTACTTAATTAAAATACAAATGTCTATAATATATCACATGGTATTTTTCAAAACTATGAATTCTAGTAATTTCAGTATCATTGTTAATAAATATTAAATGTAAGTGTAGTAATAAAGCATCATTTGTTTTAAACATTTTTTTAATAATTAATATATTTTCATTTGTAACCAACTAGAACATATAATCCTGAGATATTAAGTATTTTACATATTATCTCCTATATAGATATACATCTATTATCTAAGTACCTAACATAATATATTTCATAAATAAACATATGACCTTAGTATATACTGACTTCCATTTAAGTATTAATAGAATAATAAGAAGGTGCATGTGGTAGATATCGTTCATATGTCATCTTTTTCATTCTGAAATCAACCCATGGATAAAAAACAACTAGGTTCATTTATTTACGTTTAATGCAGTACATAAATTTATTATCAAGTTGAACAACTAACAACTGAATAGTTGTTCCAGAATAAGTAAATATATCAAACATTAAACCAAAGTTGCTATTTATATTTATATTTTACATTATCTTAAAATTCTTTCATTATAGAACATTTAAAAATATCAAAATAATATTAATAGTTGACAAATGTTTCAGCAAGTAATCATACAAAATGTTAGTTTTTGTAATTAATTTTACAATAGAAATAAGTACTTAATCTTACTTCCACAATGTCAACAACTGCTTTGTCACTAAACGACAAATATACCAGTTTACTATTTATTCATTCAATCTATTTGTTTGTGTGTTTAGTGTTTCTAACACAGTTAAAAGTAAATTTGATTTAAAATTTTATATCAGGTCATAGAATATTTGTTATTTATTTATTATTTTGGGAAGCCTATCAATACCGATGGTCAATCCTGTGTATTATGCCTCCCCGAGTATAAATTATCACAAAACAAGCAAAATTAATTTAAGAAAAAACTACTGAATTCTATCTTTAAATTTTAAAATCTATCAATATTTATAGTCGAATCCCTAAACTGAGGACTATGAGATACTAAGACAATTAGGAGAGGACAATACTTCCCCAGGCATCCCTTTTCGAGAGAAGTGCAAATAAAAACGAGTTTAAAGGGGGGGGGGAATAAATACATTTCTAAATAGGTTTACAATATCGATAGCTACCACCTACTCATTCTCGTTAGTAAAAAATACCTATTACATTTACTAAAACGAACAGCTGCCGATCTTAGACACGAACGTTCAACATTGAAGCAGACCGAATGACACAACTTCCTCTCTGTTTCGAGGCGCTGCGCGTTATTATAGACTACATGCATCGTTCTAGTGAAAAATGTACTGTCCGGGACACCACCGAAATGGAATAAGTGTCTTAATTCAAGATCGGTCAAACGGAGAACCATAACCGTTGAGAGTCGGACGGGTAGAAGAAATTGTTATAATAATTATAATAAATAATAAAAACAATAATTGATAAGCGAACTGCATTGTGCATCAGACATCCTTACCGGCAATCTTTTTAGTTGTTCTCATAAATCCACAGGTATCAATAGATCTGTGCACAAATTGTAATGAAGGCGACGATAATCAGTTTTTCTCAAAATTCTGCTGTGCCCATAGATATTAATGAATTAATTATCATCTATGTTCGCAGTCGACGATAGCCGAGGTAAGTTCCTTCTTTGGTAGCTTGGTCCTTAATGATTACGATTTAGGACGCGCAGAGAATGTTTGTTGTTCAGGCAGTGGTCGCGCCGTCGCGGTTATTTGTTATCTATGGTGGTCACCGATCGACAATCGATGTACGATTGCCGGTGGACGGTAGTTCGTAGTAGTTCCCGGAGCGTTGTGTTCTGCTATGCAGTGTGACCAATATGCGTTCGTACTTTTGTATACGTCACGAAAATTGCAATAATTGTGTAAGTATAATATATGACACAGACATATCGTATAAAACAACTACATAGCCGACTCTCTATATTAGTGCATAATAATCTCAGATCGTGTACTAATTTAGTACATATTAATATGATTTAAAATAATAATATTGAATGTCTCTAAAACGAACGGCTTCCATTTGTCACACTCGCAATATCTACCATAGGCATTATACTCGTAGACGGAGTATGGCACAGATATCTATACCACAGTGTAGTATAGATACCTGTAGAGCCATGATAAAATAAGTTAATTATATCATATTATTTTGTGGAGCATTGTGGACTCATTGTGTTAGGTATTCCACACTTCTGTGATCTGCTAATCAGCATAGCCTACTCCAGCTCGCGAATAGTCAAAAACATAGCATAAATACGTAGGTAATTATTGTATTGTATCATTATTCATGATGAATAATAATAATAACTAATAAGTTTTAAACGAATTAAACGAATTATGAATAAAATTGTAATAAGTGTTACTACTTACCAGTGACGTGTAACATAGGGTCCAAGTGTTGCTCAGGCAACACCTTAAATATGAGTGGGTGGGTATTGATAAAGAAAAATAGGACATTTTATAGGTCGGTATAACAGTATAATGAGGGGTAGGTCACCTAAAATTATTTGAGTAACACCTATTATTTTTATAATACACGCTACTGCAACCTACTAGTAACTGTAATCTCTTGTTATTGATTCCAACGTTTTCGTTAGATTTACTTATTATAATCAAAGATTAAACATACATTAGATAGCCCACTGTCATATCAGATATGGAAACATGTAAATTCGTAAAAAATAGTAACGTAGGGTGTCGATAATTGGCACAAACGAAGTCAATATAAAAAAAACTATTTGTTGCCGTATTTGAATGGCCAATGAGACGTCTTTTGTCCAAAATCCAAACTAATTTCTTTGGAATCCAAATTGCAAATTATACCGGTGGCACAATATTACTATTGAGATTTTAGGGGGTTATCTAGTATATGTAAATGATAATAAATTCAATTTATTAATTTAATTAATCTATGTTATTATAATACTATAAATTGTAATGCAGTTTGCTATTACTACACTACCCAGCCCCGCCGGCCTGCCGTGCTTCGTCTATGAGTTTAAGACAGGGGTCACTAACTTATTTTTACGGAGGCCCGATTTGAAACTTACCAAATTTTCCGTGGTTTTTATGATTTTCACACACGTTAAATAAGTACATTTTTTTTAAATTTGTATTTTTATCAATTTATTTTATCAATTATTACTCAAAAATGTATCAGGAATGTCTTTAATTTTATTTGAATTATTTTTCTAGTTGTTCAGGACTAGAAGAGAGTTATTCTGACTTTACAAATAATGAACGTACCTATACTGAACAATTACGATAAAAAATAATACTATAGTATAGGTACTACATAAGCATACTCACATTGAACGGTTTATATAATACATCAATACGTGATTCAAACGTACCTGTTGATAGATGCGATTGATAGATACATTATTTTTAATTTTTAATTGTATGTTATGGAATAATGGTTAATTGCTTATTGTGCAATAGTATCATATATTAGTATTAAAATAAGTTTAATTACCGGGAATTGATCACACTCACAGAGTAATCTTTTTTAAGTTGTACATATTAAAAAGTACCTATACTGGTTCCTGCCGTTCCTGGTTTTATAGAAAATAAAGAACTGAAACAGAAAACTTTTATTTCTACAAGAATGAAGTAGTAAAAAAAATAATAAAAAAAATTAATTAATAAAAACTTGGTTTACATTTTTAAAAGCAATATCATATTAAATTGTTTGACATCATCCATCATCATAGTCATTGTACTAAAATAATTTCGAAGGCAGATAATTCGTTTGTTAGTTTTGTTCGAATCGAATTCGATTATTCGAATATACAAAGTTATTTTTGGTCTTCGTCGTAATGGATCGCAGACCACATAGACCACGACGTTGTGAATAACCGACGATAGAACATGATATTATTATAGAACAAAATGAATATTAAAATTTTTTTTTAATTAATTGTAAAATTGTGATCAAATATCCAAAAAAAATATTTTATTATTTTTGTAATTTATATTATTTATTATCATTCGGACATTCAATAATATATATAGCTATTTAATTAAAAGTAGGTGTTTATTCAAAATCTAAAAATTAAGTCTTGTTTCTTCATATTAGATATCTGGCCAACCAATATTTTTTAAATTTAGTATTTAAAATTAGTAAATACAAATCTATAATATTTATAAAATTCAATAATTGTAAGTTATAGCAATATACTCGTAATAGACAATAACTACAATAGTATGACATTACTATTCATAACATTAATCTGTAATTTTGTACTCTGCGTACAGAATATTATAGATTTTATATAAAATGTGTTCAACTCGTGTGCATGTACGTTTATTAAATTATTATTATGAAACAAACCTCGATGTAGTCTTAGAGGCGAAACATGTACCTAATTCACCGCGAATGTCCGACCACTATCCCCCAAGGTTATCTGATATGATGAAGGAATATAGAAATAATAGTATGATATAAATTATAATAAAGAGGACACCACGCCCATATGTGTTGTCTGCATCTTACAAGTGCGTAACATTGCGAATTTGAGTTCAGCAGATCACGTTTAACTCTGTTAGTTTAAAAAATAGAGTAAATCGACGTATAATGAAACTTAATGGTAAGAACATTATAAGTATATAAGTATGCAATTTTAAGATAGTTCAATTTTTTAGCAAGTTATGTGTATATAATAAAGCATTAGTTAAAAATGCTTATAGCTCACTTAAAAATTGAGCTACTGTAAAAAACCAACATAGAAACACGGATTATGTTCACACCATGACGTTTCATAATTGGTCGATTTACTCTAATTTCTAAGCTAACGGAATTAAACGTGATCTGCTGAGTGTAAGTTTGGTATGTTACGCGTTTGTAACACATGCGAGTGTGGCGTCCTCTTAACGTGAAATTTTTTTCAATGATTTTAGTCGCGCCATTACTCAGTCAAGGCGGTTTGATTATGACAGGTTGATTATTGCGTAGTTTCCATATCCGCGACCTTCGTTCTGCTTTTTTCCGTTTATGTTGTATATGTTGAGGGTTGAAATTAAATGTTAATTCTATAAAAATAATATTTTAAAAATACCTATACATGTCCTTCGCACACACTAATTTTGTAGAAAATATGTTCTTAGGCATATGAGTAAGCAGACGCAGGAGAAATTAACCTGCACGATCCCATTTTACATGAAGCCAAACTTCGTCAATCTTTTCAAAATGCTTATGCACAATACTTTAATCACAAACTAAAGATAACGGTTCTTATCATGCAAATAACAATTAACATTTAACGTATTATATGCATCTATATTTTTTTTTTAGTTGACTTTATTTTTACAATTGAGATAAATTTAGTATGGTTTATTTATGGTTTATTATTTATATGTTTTTAAAGTTAAGAATTAAATATCAATTAAATTATTTTAAAAGTTAACTTGAAACTCATTTTTTATATTTTAACGTAATTTTTTCTCAAATATATTTTGAAAATACAAATCTACCGGGAACATTCTGCCTCTCCCCTCATATTGTTCAGGAGCCGCCACTGAGCTAAGTTGTAATGATACGATTCGTTTGTGTAGCCAATGTTGGATAAAATAATGTAGGGTCAGGGTGTATCCGTAGAAATAAGATACATAATATACTTAATTTATTACCAATGTCTTAAAATATATCTACCTATATTGATTTGATAAATAATTAGCTTTTTTAAAAAAATTGTATATATTTTTTATTTCAAGGCTATTTTTTCCCCTGACTTCTTCTTACCACATACCAAGTTATACGTAAACTACATAAAGCTATAAAAATTATAATTTATTTTATAAGTACCAACATCGCAGTTAATTAATTAACAAGGTTATTTTGAACAATATTTTTTGTGTATTTACTTGATAAAAAATATTTCGTTCCACGTAATAATGCAGGTAAATTACAATATTAATATGTCAGTAGGACATGTATAGATAGGTATTTTTTAAAAAATTTTTATAGTATTAACATTTCATTTCAACCCTCAACATATACAGCAGGAATTGAAAAAAACAGAACCAAGGTCGCGGATATGGAAACGACGCAATAATCAACCAGTCATAATCAAACCGCCTTGACTGAATAATGGCGCGACTAAAATCATGGAAAAAAATTTCACGTTAAGAGGACGCCACACTCGCATGTGTTACAAACGCGTAACATACCAAACTTACACTCAGCAGATCACGTTTGGTTCCGTTAGCTTAGAAATTAGAGTAAATCGACCAATTATAAAACGTCATGGTGTGAACATAATCCGTGTTCCCATGTTGGTTGTTTACAATAGTTCAATTTTTAAGTGAGCTATAACTTATAAGCATTTTTAACTAATTCTATATTATAAACACATAACTTGCTAAAAAATTGAACTATCCTAAAATCTCATACTTATATACTTATAGTGTTCTTACCATTAAGTTTCATTATACGTCGATTTACTCTATTTTTTAAATTAAACGAGGTATACGGCTTGACCGAGCAATGACGTGACTAAGACAATAGAAAAAAATTCACGGATAACCACGGTTTCGGGCGGTAAAAGTGTTTCGATTTTCTTCAATAGCAACTTTTCTGGTAGGAAAGTGAATCTAGTTGATGCATTCAGCAGGTCAAAATTTAAAATTCCCAATAGTTTTCAACTGCGTCAGGAAAAACAGTCATTTTTAGGCGGAACCAGTTTTCGAAAAATCTATATTGGTTTTTAGTGTACCTCTAAAAAAAATGACCACAGATACATAACATTTTTACTGAATGTTTGTGTTAGCAGTTTTTATAAATCATTAATCTTATAACCATAGTTTTAAAAACGAAAGTTGAGCATAAATCCACAATAATTTTGATGAGCTTTTGAATTTTGAATTTTGACAAAATTCGTAAAAAATCACAAAAATTAGAAAATTAATTTGTGTCAGAAATTCATCAAATTTTTTTTTTAATAGCTTAGATTTAATACAAGATTTCTTGTATCTAAGATTTAAATATTTAATACAAGATTTCTTATAAGTTTTTATACCTTTATCAAAAAAAAAAAAAATAACTATCGGAATGTCAAATTCAATTTTTATGAGTGATTTCAAGTTGACATTTTGACAACATTGGATATTTGTCGATGTCTCATGTGGCGATTTTCTTATTTTGTTGAAATTTAGAAACGAATTACTGTAGACAATTAAAATTTACACCATTTGTTTATTTCAGCAATATTTGATAACATTTTAAAAAATGTTGACTTGTTTTTAGCTGTTGACGGACATTTTCAACTTTCATTTTTGTTATATTTTTATTTTTTTATGACCAAAGTGCCAGACTATATTTAAATAAATTAATATTTAAGTCTAGTTTAAGTATTAACTATTAATTAATTCATTACTTTGTAACTCATTAAAGTTGTACACTTAAAAGGACGCTACACCCGCATATGTCGTGATGTTCGTATACTTGATAAAATGTTCAAAATGTTTTGACTTGTCTTATGCTGTTGACGGACATTTTCAACTTTCATTTTTTTTTATAAATGTCAATATAATTTTAATGGTTTGTCAAAAAGCATGAAAATTTAAATATTTAATACTAGACTTTTGATATATTGTTATCATTAAAAGTTCAATGTAGGTAACATTTCTCAAATTGAAAATTGATAAATGATTTTGATGTTTAAAATGTATTAAATGTTGTTCAAATTTTATATCTGAAGATTGAAAATTTAAGCTAAGGTTTTACGTAAGTAGTTAATTCTGTTACCAAAAAATCTAAAAATAAACATAAACACAGTTTTTTTAAATAGTTATTTCAAGTTCAAATGTAGACGAAATTACATATTAACATAAATTA